ATCACAGAAATATTACCTATCTTCTATAATATAAAAATGAATCGCAAAATCTGTTGGTAAGCGTATAACTCAACAACGCCTAGAACAATTTGCCCAATTCTTTTTTTAAATGTTCGTTAAAGCCCAATGATGGTTCTTAAAGCGAGAAAAATTCGAATAATTGCCGGGAAAACCCTAATAACAGCCGCTTTCTATAAAATAAAAGTTGGTATTGAGATTCAATCATAGAACAAGAGAATAAAAACAAATTACATATTTATTAAACACTACCGGGATGAAGTCGTTGAAAAAAGCTGGTCAGTAATATTGGTTGCATACTATTTCGTTCGTAATCTGAATGAACCTGATGACGTCTTTTGATGTTGAGTTTTAGTTGAGTACAAAGCGATTTTTAATAAAGCAAATATTGGAAAGCACAAAAAGCGGCCGATGTGGAACAGGAACATAAGACGCTTTGTTCATTTGGATGCCGGTCGAAAATCCAACCGACGCCACCGATTGCACGTTGACAAAGGAAAACAAAAGAAAAGGTTATGTGTGCGTGGCTCTCATTGCGCGCCGATACGGGCACTTTGAACTTTTACTATTTCAATTTCCAAAACGCCGCTCACCGAAGTTCAATAAGAACGGAAAATAAAGACCCAAAAGCAAGTCCAGGCCCAGGCAGTAAATATACTCGCACAAAATTCAATTTCACATAATAACCAAACGTATAAAAGTAGCCAGAAAAGGAATGAATTATGCAACACATTTTTCTTTTGAGTATTTTAGCAGAAAAGTTATGTTAGTTGCCTACTCGTATATTGTTCCGCAAAGTACTTAAAATGAAGAAGCTGAAGTTGAGTTTGATGAGAAAACGAAATGCGGAGCATAATTCTCGTAATTTAAATGCACAATTACGCAATTTGGTGGTTTAATTAGACTAATTAGAAATGATGAGCTTCGTGGTTAATTTACTCCTCGCGGAGGATAATCCCTAATAGAGTTCATTGAAGCATTGAAAGTGGAGAAAGTTTAAACTAGTCTCTTGGTATGAACTTGGTCGGACACTTCGAAACTAATTTCTTGTCATTTTCTAGAGGACAACTACATATCTTATACTTTATATAAAGTTACAAAGTTTTAAAATTTCAAATTTAAGTTTTAATAATAAATATTAAAGAATATTACAGTATGGCTTATATTTGCATCAAAAATGCAACAAAAAGTATGTTTGTACTCGTTTCAAGGTAAAACCACTAAACCAATTTTGATGAATCTATAATATGAAAATGAATCGTAAAATCTGTTAGTAAGCGCATAACTGAACAACGCCTCGACCAATTTGGACATTTCTTTTTTTAAATGTTCGTTAAAGTCCAATGATGGTTTTTACGGCGAGAAAAATTTGAATAATTATCCGAGAAAATTTTAAAGACAGCCTTTTTCTATAAGATAAAAGTTGGCATTGAGATTCAATCATAGTTATAGTTAAATAATTGAATCCGAGATGGCGCGCTGAAGTGCATTATAAGCAATTCTTTATATAATTAATTTCTTTAAAATAAAATTGCGAATTACATTTTTATTAAACACTACCGGGATGAAGTCGCGGGCAAAAATCAATAAAAATTAATTTTACAACCAGCTTAAAAAATATAACCTATAATTGAAACATAATTATTGGATTTACCGCTAGAAACCCCATGATACTGCTATTAAACTATTTATTCACTTGTCGCATCTATTGTGTAACAACACCGACCCGAGCGAACCGAGAATATGCTAAGCATTAATAACGCATTTTCCAATAAACAATAAACAATATACTAGCATAGATTGCATTAGTTAAATGCACAGTTAATTTATTAACCTATAAATATAAAACCTTTAATATATGCAACAAATGTGACAAGTAAATTATACATATGTCATATTGGTTGCATACATTTTTTTCTATCATTTTTTCTTCGTCTTCGAACGCACCAAACACGATTTCAAACAGTTTTTGACGCAAAACACGTAAATAAATAAAAATAAAAATAAATCACGATTGAATAAAATTTTCTTTCACACACATCTACATACATAACATTATTACCTTCATTTCTCCACTCGTCTGCAACACTCAGCAAACAGCAGTGAAATCGTCTGAAAGTTATTCACAGTAAACCGCCAGGCAGCGAGTCTCGTCGCTGCCACACGCTCCACAAATCCAGTGAAAAACCCATTTGTGGATGTGATCGATTTGTATTATACGCACATAAGTTGTCCTTTAAATATCGTTATTGGCTGTGTATATCAGCGCGTGTGCTCGCACTCGAAGAAATACGACGCTACGAAGCTGTCAAAGCTAACGCTAGTATTTTATACGATATATCCACATGCCAACATCCATCACTTTTTCGTCTTCAAAGCGACGATTTAAAAACTTGAGAAATTATTATTAACTTTATTGACACCATCGTATACGTCCGCACGTATATACAAATAAATTCGGTGTGAGCTTATAATTTTTATGTGACAAGAAAGCGATAAACATAAAAATGTAATGTTAAAATAACGAAATAAAAATGGCTGCTACGAGTGCAGCGGGCGATAACGCACTGAAATACGACGGTTAAAAAAATGATATACGAGTATTATTACATCTATGATCAATATATATTTATGACTTTGAACTCGTAAAAATTTTAATAAAATGAAGCCATATTAATTATTTTCTATATTTTAATTTTAAAAATAAGAAAAAAGAAGCTAATAAAGCAGAAAACTGCCACCTATGTTTGAATTATATAACTATAACTATATATAAATCACCATATAAACTTTCATCCCTTATTAATCACCCTGTATGTTATAATTTTGCAACAAAAAGTAGTTTATTGTCTTTTCCTTAGCCCAAACAATCTCTGTGCCAAAATTTATCATAATCGGTTAAGTGGTTTTTGTTTGAAATCGTCACAAACAAACAAAAAAACACAAAATCACATTTATATGCGTTAGAATGTATTTTTAGTTGCATATATTCACGTAATTAGTTATAAAAATCAATTTAGTGGCTAAATTTAAATATTTTGCAAGTTGCAAGCTACTTTAGCACTTCTAATGAAGTTCATGACTATGCAAGAGCTTTAAAGATATGATCTGCATAGTGCACTTACTTGAGAACTACTCAAACACAAGATTATCTCATCTTTGCAATTATAATCCAAATAAAACCTTTTCATACAAGCAAAACAACAAAATGTAAATATTTTCCTCAAAATAAAATAATATCATAGGTTATATGGCATTAAACAAGATGAAAATCTTAGTACGACTAAAACACACATAAACTATGAGTAGTCGAGAAACTCAAACACAAGTTTACCTCAACCTCTGACTAAACCCTATGTGCATGCACCAGCTCCATCTCCATTTCTCATAATGTCGGGCATATCGAATAGAAATTTAATGTATTCATTGGCGCGCCGGCGAATTAAGGAATATGCGGCTTGGCGAACGGACGTGATTGTCGGAGAGTGGATAAGACGGATATTTCCCCGAGGTGTCGTTCCATCTGCTCTCCGGGGAGATTTTTTTAAAAGATTTTCTACTGGGTCTCTACTCACTCTACTCACTCTGGACACACTCTGCCAGAGCATCCAGAAGGAAGTAGCGAGGCATGGAAACACGGTCGGCGTGCGTCTTTATTATCCTTGATATTCAAGGGTGTGCTGGGCGATGGGGTGAGCGCTACTTTTCATCATCATTTTACACTTTCTCTGGAGCAAACTGTTGCACTAGATAAGGCCTATCGCCTTGAGATATACCCTAAATAGGGTAATAGTAAACTATTTATAATTTATACAGAGTGTTGGAATTTTTCAACTTTCAAATCAGTTTTTCCACGGTTTTGAGATATAAAAAGTGGTATTTTAAACACGAACGGTCAAGGACGTGACTAAAGTAGTCACGGGTTTTAGTCACGAGGTGGTAGATTCGTCTACAATTGTGTCAACTTTTACTCTAAGTCCATGGCCTTGAGATATACCCTAATTAGAGCATAGTAAACTATTTATAATTTATACAAGGTGTTGCAAAAATTTTCTATCTTCATTTTTAAAGCCATTTTCACAGTTTAGAAACACAAAAAGTGGTATTTTATACACAAACGGACAAAGCCGTGACTAATGTACTTTAATCACGGGTTTTAGTCACGATATGGTGGATTCGTCTGTAATTGGGTCGAGTTTTACTCAAATGTTCATTTTTTAAGGTTAAATTTAAATTATTACTTTGTAGGTTAGCTAAGGTTAGGTTAGATGAGTTTTATTAGCCTGCGTCTGTGTTGTAGGACACTTTGGCATTTGATTTCTATGGTAAATGAAACCGCATTCAATCAAGCCACAGCACTTGTGGTCCGGCAACTCGCCAGCATGCACGCAAGTTATTACCACGATGACAGACGACGTTTGGCGCTAGTGCTAAATACAAATACGCAATTAATTATGGTTTCATCACCAAACAACAACAAACAGAAATTTAAAAAAAAGATTTTATATAATTATGTAAATATTGATTATGGTAATCTTCTTTGAATTTATATAAAAGAAATTTTCTGAAAGTGATGGTGGCACTTTGACTTCTTTGCACTTGTGAACAATTGTCTGTGCCCTTTACATCTTTTATTCATGGCGGGCAATCTGGCGCAATCTGGTCGCATATCAAATGACGACGCGACGCAACGCAACGCCGCGCAAATTCTCATTTATTCGCACCTGCTTCACTTGCTTTGCCATCATCAATTGGCAATTGCATCGTTTCCCGTTTTCAATTGCACGATAATTGATCGATTACATTGGAGAAGTTGTGCATTTCTCCGCGCGTTATGCAACCAAACATACAGCAGAGTAATCTGCAGGTTACGTTAGATTCGTTACAGTGTTCAAACGCAAACACACTTTGATTAAACTTTGGTTTAAATAGTTATTAGTATACATAACGCATAAATAGAGTTGTATAAGATGCGTACTTACAATTTGAACGCCCGCTGCTTGGTTTTATGTTGTTTTCTTGATGAAAATCACTTTTTTCGACTAACTGCACCAACACTGCACAACATTACGCTCTGTCATGTTTGTTGTTGCTTCGGGTGAGTTCGTGTGTGTACGACGTGATTCAAGGTCAATATTACCAGTAACATAGTGTGAAGATTTGAATTTTAGTTTCAACGAAAAAATCACTACACTGATGAAATAAAACCAAAAAACAATGCTTTTACTATCAATTTATCACCGTAATTTGACTTTATTGCTTCTCAAATCAAGATTTAACTTTATCCGCACAACAAAAACAAGTCAATAGACCCTTGTTAAATATTTACCAGCGATAATGTGCCGTTCCGTGATTTATACGAGCCGCGATAAATCGATGCAAACCACACTAACCCATCAATACATTTCCAACGTAAAAAACAGAAAATAACACAATACAACAAACCACCTACAACCCTCACAAAAAATGTACACTTAACATCTGTTTGGTAAACACGTTTTTGAGTGTTTCATTGCGAAATGGATGGGCCCCGATGCGATTGTAAAAAAAACGGCAGCAGTGGGCTGTTTTTCGGCTCGAACAAGCATCGCGCGAATTCAACGAGCAGTCGAGCGCGGCATCGCATCTGCGCGTCTCACAATGGACGTGCGACAAAAACGCAAAAAAGGACGACGCGTCTGAGCGAGCATCAACGAATCCAACGAATGTTACGTTCGCGCATCGGTGGCAATAACGGCCCGCATGGCCGACAAGGCCAACAAAAAATTAAATCAAAATGTGTGTAACATAACCTTGCAAAAACAGCTAATAACCAGTTATTTATACAGTTTTTATTTAACCATTTTAACAAATGAGTTTTATATTTATACAAGACTTTGTTAGCAATTAGTCGCCTATTATTTTTTCATCCGCTATGATGAAGTTTTAAGGTAGAAAATTCAAGTGAATTATCCTTGTAATTTAATGTAATTTACAAGTGAATTATGAGCGACTTTTTAAAAACTTCCTCGGAACACTCAGGAGTTATTCACCGTGGAATAAATTATAATCTCAAGCAGAATGTTTAAAGTATCTTATTTTTTAGAGGAAAGGCAATATTTTAACTTGTATGCAACCAAATTACCTTGTTTTTAATGTATGGTAAAAATGTGTATGTTGTGTTGCATATTCCTAGGCGCATAATTATCCAATGCAACTATTTTTTGCTAAATTCTTATTTTAAAGTATATGCAACCCACGTAACTTGTTTGTTTGTGTAATGTACAAATGTGTATGTTGTGTTGCATATTCCTAGGCGCATAATTATCCAATGCAACTATTTTCTACAAAATTCTTTAATATTTTTGTGGTATAGGTTTGCAACTCAAGTAACATGTTTGTTTATGTATAGTGTAAATGTGTATATTGTGTTGCATATTCCTAGGCGTATAATATAGTTATTGTTATTACATTATAATAAATTATATTCGAGTCTTGTGAGTATACGTATCGTATGTACACGAGTAGAATATGCAACATGAGTTGGCCTGGAACATATTGAGTGAAATTGTGAAACAATTCCATGCACTGCAAACGACAAAGCAAAGGGCCGTAACGTACAGTAACGTTCCGCATTGTTCCGCTCGTAATTTTAACATTTACATAACCCGCTTAGAGTGAACCGAGAGCCAAGCATCGGAGCTTAATGGCGTCGGGATCGCCGAACAACGACATCGTCGCATCGAAAACACGCATAAATTTATCCGTGCAAATTTATAGAGAAAACCAACGCGGATAGAGTAAACGCGAAAGATATTTGTGTTATAGGCAACCGATGATACAAAAATAATGGGAATGGAAAAGAAAAAATAATTAAATACAAACATAACTGTTTTGACATTGATTTTGTTGTGTTTTTACAGAAATATTTGTAAAATGGTGTTTTGGGTCGGGATTTAAATAATTTTATCTTATTTTTGTCAAAAATGTTAAATGTAGTGCGAATATTTGCTTTTGAGCGCCATCTGCGTTAATATTTCAGAACTATTTCTGTGTTTAATCATTTTTCACACTTTAACTCTCAATTTAAAAATTTTCAGGCATTATTTATGCAATAAGAAGTAGCCTATGTTATTTCCCAGAGTCTAATCTACCTTTCCACCGAAAATTATTAAAATTACTTAAGAAGTTTAGCAGTGAAACATGTGCAAACATAAACTTTTTTATTTTTACATTTACACGTATAAAACCATATGGTTCACCGGCACCTTCACCTAAAATTGCAATACGCATAAATTTGCCGCGTGAATACTTCCGTTGACTGTCGAATTTAATTTGGAATTAACACCAAGACGACGCCGATGCCGATACTGAACTCCACGCTGCTTCTACCTAACAGCTTCCAACCTTCTCTCATCTCCTACCTATTCTTCTCACATCTCACATCGCTCACTATGCTCAGGTTAGCAGTATGTACTCGTACCTACCTACCCATCTGCTCCAATGTATTCACACACTCGTTACTCGCATCCCCGGCACGTAAACTTTGCTTCTGGTGTTGGAGTCGTTAATGAATTATTTATTATCCGACGCCCGAGCTCATCAATAATACATGCAGCTGTGAAATAAATTAAATTCGTACTTGTTGTTTATTGTTCGCACGCGGCGTTGTGCCAGACAGTCAAAGTCAGATTTCCTAGGGGCAAAACCAGCAAAACCATAGGGGAAATTGAATATAGTAAACTATTATTACTTTCAAAATGTAAATTAATTACAATATTTTAATTGTGGATTGTATGGAATTTAGGTTATGTTGTGCTATTAATAAATAATTCAAAAAATTAATTATTTTTCTCATATTTTAAACAAATTAACATGACCTAAATGAGTTATTTAGTTATTTAATTTGTATCGAGTTTTAAAATAGGTATTTATATCGCAATTTATTGTTTATGCTGTAAAGTTGCGTTATTTTGCATCAGTTTAACACTGATTGTGTAAATTTGTGTTTTTTGTGCTTAAAAATGTATTATCTGCAATAAATAATATGTTATTGCATAAATTATTGTTTTAATTGAGGTTAGATTGTAATCGGTAAAGTGACGTCATTGTTGAGTTGCTTTTGCTAATTGGATTGCATCTATCATGTTGTTTTTAGCAAATGTTGCAGTTTTTTCTTAAAAATTATCAATGATTTTGCATTTATCACAAAAAAGCAATTTTTTCAACATTTTCTCTATTGATTTTGCTTAAATTAGATGTTTTTATAATGCTCATAATTATTTAATATTATTTTCCATAAACGACATTTTTTCTAATTGAAATGTGCTCTAATTATATCCATACGATTCAAAAATCCTTTGTTTTCAAAGGGATAAAAACACAAAAAGAACAAGTAAACCAAGCAATGCCATTCGTTTCGAAATCCAACTCAATTCTCAATGCAATGCAAAAGAAGTCACAGAAGTCGCAATCCGCGCAGTAGATGAAACAAAGGACGAGAAAACAAGGGAATAAGAAGCTGATCAACGTCACGAGCGAAAACAAATGAAAAACGTACAAACAATGAACCAGACTTGAATCATTCTATTCTTATATTCTTACAACTCAACATGGCTGCTCCATTCGTTTCCTTGCCGATTCGAATAATCAAATGTATTCAAAATCTCAAAAAATCAAAAACACATATTTAATTACTATATGAAAATATAAAAATAGCTTTTGTCCGCGATTTTGTTCCGGTAGTGTTTAATAAAAATGTAATTTGTTTTTACTCTCTTGTTCTAGACATAGTATGTGTCAATTCTATCAATAAGATTCGCAATTTTATTTTAAACAAATTAATTATATAGAAAATTGGTAATAATGCACTTCAGCACGCCATCTTGGATTCAACTATTTAACTATAACTATGATTGAATCTCAATGCCAACTTTTATTTTATAGAAAGCGGCTGTCATTAGGGTTTTCCCAGCAATTATTTGAATTATTCACGCCGTAAAAACCATCCTTGGACTTTAACAAACAATTTAAAAAAAGAATTGGCCAAATTGGTCCAGACGTTGTTGAGTTATGCGCTTACCAACAGATTTTGCAATTCATTTTTATATTATACATAAATACTAATAATTTATTTACTTTTATGTTGACTGCTGCGTTGATTAAATAATTAAAAAATATACATTACACACTCTTTGATGTTGTACTTTTTGAAGCTTTTTTCCAAATCCCACTTGGTTTGTGTCCAGTGTTGCTAAAAGAGCGCTAAAAACTCAGACGCGACTGTTGCTGAAGAGAATTCCGAATGAGTGGTAACCGCTGCTGCATTTCGCTGCCGACCAACTTGTTTATCAAATAGCACGGCGTGAATTAACGCTCATTTAAATGTTGTCCCTTTGAGGTAAAGCCTTTGAGGCAAAGTGCCGCTTAGCAATTTGCTGCATCAACAGCATCGGTTTAGTTATTCGTATAATTTTTCTTGATAACTTACTTAGTCACTGAAAAAACTAAAAGAGATTTAAATAATATAAAGTTTTACAACTTATAAAGCACTACTGCAGTTGCAATACTTCAGTTTTGCATATTGAAGTTACATAAATTCAATGCTCAATTATTTTTAACTAATTATATGTATTTTTGTAGGTTATGTAACGTTATAACCTAATTTTAAGCAAAAATTATTCATTTTTAAATTGATTATAATTTTAATACGTGAAAAACCAAAAAAACTGGACAAATCGCCATTTTAGGACAATTTAAACAATTATTCAGAGCAAACAATTCAACAATGACGCCACTTCTTCAATAAACTCAAATTTTTGGTTTTCTTAACAAAAAATCTAATTTCTGGTTGCAAAATGCAAGAAAACAGCAAGAATATATTTTTATAGTTCAAGATTCTTATCTAAAATTTAGCAAATCATAAACTTTTATCACCCTGAAGCAAATTAAAACGCCCACAAAGAAAGCGAATTAACAACTCGTCTCGAACCTAGGACAAGCATTTTATTTTTAGCACATTCTTTACAATTTCTAATTTCCTTCTGCTTTTACAACCCACTTCATTCCTCCGTGCACCAAACGCAAACTTTACATTGATGACTTTACGATTTTTTCCTCAAATATACCTTGACTTTGATGGCTTTGACGCAGCGTTGACACGTCAATGTCACGTAGGTTGGATAAGTGCATTGCTTAGTTTACTACTCCATAAACGTACAAAACTAATTCTACTTCAAAAATAGAGAACGTTTTATACTCACTCACCAAAGGAATAGAATACCATTTATATACTAAGTGTATTAAGTATACAAATACTAAGAATATTAAACTCAATCAGAATAATACATTTTGCATAATCTTTGCTTGTTGGTTGTTATTATGACAGCAATTAGGCATGCGGGTCGCTTAGATTAATTGGGCTCACACGCAGTGGCACTTAATAAGCGGCTTGATGTATGACAGTAACCGGAAGAGCGGCGCCGCCACGCAGAAGTTCCAGGTCGCCTTCCACCCTTTCGACCTGGAGCCGTCAATGCGCGCTACATCAGCCAAATGGAGCTTTGTGTATAATTATGTTGCCACACGGCGCAGCTCTGAGTAGAAACAGGAATTTTGCATTCAACACAGAAGATACAAGATCAGTGTTTATGTTTACGTCCAGGGAAGTGTTTTATCCTAAAAACATTCAAGAATTAAACAGAGTTTACGGTAAAATGTTAAATACAAACAAACTTTGCACTCTTACGCCATCTATTAATGTATTTAAACCAAGAAAATACCGAAGATGATTTGAAATCATCAGCTGTCAACCGACATAACCTTAAAAAGCACATTCATACTCACCAATTCTTAATTTTATTAGTTTTTTGTAAGTTTTTAACGATTTAAAAGTTATTTTGAGCTAAAAACAAAATAAATCATTAAAATCTTTAGTTATAAACAACTTAAAACACTAAATAATCTTTATTTTCGTATATTTCAAAATTTCAACTTACGTTTTGCACGTTAGCAGCACTATAGGCAACCCTAACCACACATTCCTTTCACTTCTGTTCCACACAACAGAAATAAAACACCCGCTTGCCGTGTGTAGTTGCATGAATGGTTAATGTTGATTACGGCACGGGTTGTCGGTTGCCTGGTGGTGACGTTCGAGTCCTGTGACTGTCGGCCCCGTTGTTGCCATAAATCACCTCGGCTTATTCGCCATTACGCGCAATCCGTTTATGTCAGACGTGCGCGCTGCTCCGATGCCATTAGCGAACGCGTCGTCCACGCGACGACAAGGTATGCGCCCGCCATCTTGTCGAAGTGCATGCGTGTGCGACGCATACGAGATTATGTCAGCCGAGATTTCGTCGCGGAATCGCGCGGCGCGTCTCCTGCGTCGCCTGCCACGAGCGTCTTGCACATTCGGAGGATCTTTGTTTCAACGCTGCGTTATGTACAAGGTAGGCTAGAGTATTACTAAAACTACACTGATTTAATTTCAACTCTACACTTGACACGTTTAGGAATATATTATTGTATATTTAAAGGTTATGCGTGAAGTTAATTTAGTTGATGATGTGACAACGTTGCATATGTGAAACATAACCTAATTTTACTAAACGGATATAAATTGAACCAGAAAAATACAAAAAAAAACGAAGAAAAATAAATAAATGTAATTTATGACGGGGCGCGATGACCAATCAGTGATGGCGGTTTATTATTAATGTCACGTTGTTGCTGCCGAAGGCGGCAAAGACCTAAACGGCAAACGCCCACGTATCTTGCGATGAGATGAGAACTCACATTCGCCAATGTTCGCTTTATGCTTCGTTTTATGTGCTTGAACTCGCCTAGCACATCGCGCTTGATAGCCGCAGATAAATTTTCTTTCTAGACATCCCACATCTAGTGGGAATCTGATATCGCGCTCATGCAAGATTCGATGATCATTACATTACAAGCACTCAAGTTTCACATGAAATATTGAAAAGTGCTTAAAGTGTATCAGGAATAATATGCTATTAGCATTTTTGAGTATATTTGGTTGCATATATTATATTTGTATTACTAAATAATAGTTTAAATGCAAATATGAGGATGTTTGTATGTTTGTGTCGGGTTAACACACAAACCACAAAAGCAAATTTGATGAATTTTGGTATAGAGATATTTTTGATTAGGTAAAAGAATATAGACTAATTTTTGTTGCAAAAATATAATTAGAAGAGTGTCAAATTAAGGGTTGAAAGTTGAAATGGTGATTAAATCACAGTAATAGTTATATAATTTGACTCTAGATGGCGCTGATCTGCATTTGTAGCATTTCTCATTCACACAAATTAAAAAAGGCAATTTTTTGACAAAACAAGTTCAACAGATAAAAATTAACCTGGCCGAAACCAAAAGAGTTATAAACTATTAATATTTGATAATTAACTTATGCACCACATGAGTACGAAAATAATATTAAATATAATATTAATTAAATCATTTAACTTAGTCATAATGTATAATTTATGAATGAAATAATGGAAATTTATAAATTTGGTTGCATACGTTCTACGTGATAAAGAATGGCTGAATGAAATTATTTGTGGAGCATATAATTAAATTATTTAATTTATTCATAATATTATGATTTTGATGATTTTATGAGTTTTTGTGATTATTCGACTATATGTTCGCTGAGTTGCATATAAATTGCAGGCGGTGTGATGCACAATTTGTTTGCTGAAAAGTTTAGCATAAAACCGATTGGTTTGTTAATGGATTTTCGGCCGACGACGACATTTTCAATTTGGCATTCATCCGGCTGAAAATTAAATTCCTATTTGGCTATTCTCCATATCGTCACCGATGAATTTGCAATATGTGTTGCAGTATTCAACAAAAAGTAATACAATAACTGGTGATAGTAGGATATTCGGGTATTAAGGTTATAAAATGCTATAGTCGTAGCTTTTTGGAAGCAGTGTTAACAACATTCAAAAGTTTTATTTTAAATATTTTGTAGAATTTTTTCCATTTCCATTCGTAAAATGTTAGTATTTTCATGGTGTCCAAACACAAAAAGTGATACTTTAAGTACGGACGCCCAAAGCCGTGATTAAAGTACTTTAGTCACGAGTTTTAGTCACGGGACGGAGCATGCGTTTGAGTGTTTGTCTACGGTGCAGCACAGGACCATATGAAATGTTTTGCGGGGATTATTAATGCGCGAGTTCATTAAAAGTGCGTAGTAGATTTTTGACAATGTTTGTTCCACTTTCATGCAATAACCAATGAACAAATTTTGATGAATTTCAGTATAAACACAGATATGAACTTGGAAAAGAACATAGATTACTTTTTATTGCATAAATAAAATTAAAACCGTGTAAAATACGGGATTAAAGTTTTATGAGCCGAAAATTCAGATTTTAATGGAATAAATTGACCAAAAATTGCATAATAAATAAAATTATTGTATATAATTACAATATCAGCTTTTTAGAAGCCATTTTGAAGCAATTATAACATATTTTTACACTTTGAAGACAAAAAACTTACATATCCGCCTATTTTAAGCTCTTTTTATAGAATAAAAAGTCATTTACACACGTAAATTAACACAAAAATTCTATTGATTCTATTGGTAAATATCTACATTTGCAACTTTTGTAAACACTTTGTATGCACCCATCATGCATGTGGTTTGTGTGGTCGTGGTCACATTACGACCTTTCTATGCTCCGCTCGTTTCTCGGCGTAAAATAATGCAAAATGTAGAAGCGCAAGTTTTTTCCGTAAAATTTAATGCCTCACGCTCGTATAGCCATCGATTTTAATTTAATGGCGTTTTTACGCCCGCGGCCCATCCGCGATTGCTTTATTGCAATGAAGCGGGGGAAATCGTTTCGAATACACTTTTAATCGGATTCTCTCCATACACACACATTTGACACAAAGAAAAAATCTCTGAAAAAGTGACATAAAAATCAAAAAATACTCAAAGAAAAAAACATAATGCTATAAAATTTAATAAGTCATAAAAATATCAGATTATGCAGTTAAATAAATATTTTTATTACCCGTGCTATCTGCTACCCTTAATAACGTCTCAAACCAGACGAGAGTGGACCGAAACTTCTTTATGTATTAAAGTTTTATTGTCAAAGTTCAATATGAAGACTTGAATATGAAATACCTACTTGTTGTTTATATGCATAAATTCATGAAATTCATGGAATTATAGCCTAGTTATTGGGATAGAAATGATTGAGGTTTAGTTGATGGTGAACCGGGGAAACCCCAATTTAACTTTTGTGGTGGGTCAGCAGAACTTATGAGTAAAGTTGAATACCTTCTATGATGTTGTATGTTCGGACATACAATAGAGTAATGTGTGTGCATCGTGCACTATTCGTAAACTTGGGTTATTATTTGTGTGTTATGTGGATTAGAGTTTAATTAAATAAGCTTTCAGCTATGGGTATAGGCTGTAATTATGGAGAAAATTAATATTATTCGGTAGACATCATTTTCCGATAATGGTTGATTATTAGTACTCTACAATTAAATTAATTTGAAAATTTAACTATTTTTGATTTTTATGACTGGATCTATCTATAATATAAAAATGAATTGCAAAATCTGTTGGTAAGCGCATAACTCAACAACGCATATATCAATTGGGCCAATTCTATTTTTAAAATGTTCGTTAAATCCCAAGGATGGTTTTTACGGCGAGAAAAATTTGAATAATTGCCGGGAAAACTCTAAAAACAGACCTTTTCTATAGGATCAAAGTTGGTATTGAGATTCAATCATAGTTATAGTTAAATAGGTGAATCCGAGATGGCGCGCTGAAGTGCATTATTAGCTATTCTTTATATAATCGATTTCTTTGAAATGAAATTGCGAATCTTATTTATAAAATTGACACATACTATGTCTAAAACAAGAGAGTAAAAGCAAATTACATTTTTATTAAACACTACCGGGACAAAGTCGCGGGCAAAAGCTAGTAACAAATATAATTCACAGATACCTTACGAGAAAGCTTTTTGTTTTTTTAAATTTTTTGAAAAAACGCATTGAATTCTTTATTTTGCTTACAATTTTGCCGCAAATTTTACAATTTTAGAATAACAAGCTTATTTTTTGTTTAGTATTTATTTTCTCTCAATGAAACCACAAAAGAGCTCTGAAACTATTTTAACTTTAAAAATGCAGTTTTTGCTATATTTGCAAATCCGGCTTTAATAGACAGATAAAAGCAATAAAATTCGGTTTTCCGCCAATTTAATGGCTATTCAAACCTATTGTGGCCTGCAATGAAATTTTTAAAAAAGAAAAAAAAAACAATTCATTTTATATAAACCACAAAAATCAAAAAAAAAAAAAAAAAAAAAAATCTAAATAAATTTTAAATATTTTAATTTTTAAATTTAAAATTTGAATATGATAATAATCATTATCAATATATAAATAATCATATTTTGATATGGATATCTATCTAAGTATTTAATACAAGTAATAAAATTTATTGTTGTAGTCAATATTATTATAGCCCATAAAATTATAAAATATTTTTCAGTTTAATGCAAATATTTGATAAAATATCAAAACACAATAGAATGATTGTCTGTTGGTCGTAGCATATTAATTTGCTGTAACCCTCCGCGGCACCTGCCTTATCAACAAAAGACAACAACAAAGCATTAATATTCCGTAACGCACCGATGTGGCGATGCTGGCGATGCTGCGCTGTGTAGAATTTCATTAATTTCAGGTTGACTCGACTCACAAATCTCATCTTGGTATAATCAAAATCAAACGCTTAGATTATTATGATTATGCCACCCGCGCTCGCAAATTACTCGTATTCGCAATAATTAATTCATCTGCCATAAAATCACAAATCGGTTTATACATATGATTTCCCACGATCGTATATTGTTTTATCTTTAGTAATTTATAACAAGTTCTGGGCATGTTTTGGCGTAATTTACATTTTCATATTAGTAATCAATTTGTTATATTAAAATTGGTATTAATGATGAACGTGTATTTCTTGTACCTACTAATGGTGAAAATAACTATGTTCGGCATTTGTACGGCAAGTCAAACAATGCGATTTTTGTAATTTGCGTATAATACTAGCAAAACAAAATAAATTAT